GGTTGGCCTCGATCTCTCGACCTTGTGATCCACCCACCTCGGCTTCCCAAAGTGCTGGGATTACAGGCTTGAGCCACTGTGCCCGGCCTGAGCAAGGATTATTTCTTACAGAACACAGTGCAATAGTCAGAATCAGAAAATTTAATGTTGACCCCAAACTGTCCCCCAGAATACAGTTGTTTCCCTTCTGACCATTTTATTACTTCTTTTCTTTTTTGATACAGGGTCTCGCTCTGTCCCAGGGAGTGCAGTGAAAATAATCATGGCTCACTGCAGCCTCCACTTCCTGGCCTCAAGAGATCCTCCCACCTCAGCCTCCTGAGTAGCTGGGATTACAGGCATACGCCACCACAGCCAGTTAATTTTTGTATTTTTTGCAGAGATAGGGTTTCGCCGCGTTGCCCAGGCGGGTCGTTACTTTCCAGACAAGCACACCAGTATGTCATGCTCTCCCATCTCCCAGTCCCAATAGTGAACAGCATTCCGCTGCCGTCATGGCCGCGCCTCCCTGCGCCCACGCCATCTTGTTGTTCCGTCCTTCTTGCTGTTTTGTTGATGTTATACTGGAGTATTTTACAGCAAATGCCAGACGTCATTCCATCTGTGAGAACTTTCGTACAGATCACTGGTTTTCAACCCCTGGGTTGAGCTGTGTCATAAAATCCACCAGGTGGGCTGTGATCAGTGCTGAACAAAGATAGGCTGGAAGGCACTGGACAATAAAATCGGAGTGCGCTGTGCAGAGCCTGCCTGGGATTGGGATGTTGAGTATGTGTCTTACAGGAGGCCGCAGTCCAGGAAGGTTTGGGAAGCTCGGCCAGCAGAGGCCCTGGGGCTCTGTGCAGCTTTCTCTATGGCTTATTTGTGGTTGATCCTGACGTCAGGGCTGCAGGACCCCTCGGCAAGGCTGGCGGCAGGAGGGCCAGCATGGGCACAGTTGATGAGGGGTGGAGATGTGGTCTGCTCCGCCCTCCTCTGTTCCTGGAAGCTCTGTCCTCCGGGGACTCCGGGACATTCCAGGTCTGCCTGGTCACTGAAAGTGTGGGCTCCAGAGTCCAGAGTTCTGCCTTCAAATTCCTGCTCTGCTACTTGCTACCCATATGAGCTTGGGCAAGTTAACTAATTTCTCTGTGCCTCTGTTTCCTGTGAGATGAGGACAGGAATGATCCCAGCTTCCTGGGGCTGTCGTGAGGATTCAGTAACCAGGAACATACATAAAGGACTCTGAACAGTGCCGGGCACATGGTGGGTGCCAGGAAATGTTCCTGTCGCTCCCACTGGCCTGGGCTCTCTTCCCCTCCGCCCCAGCCCCAGCTCCTCTGCTAAGCCCCTCACTCCTCCCCTAAGGAAGGATTCTCTCTCCTGCATGTTAGAGTCCTGAGGGAGCTTTTAAAAATCCCAGTACCACGAGGTCAAGAGATCGAGACCATCCTGGTCAACATCTCTACTAAAAATACAAAAAATTAGGCCGGGCGCAGTGGCTCAAGCCTGTAATCCCAGCACTCTGGGAGGCCGAGGCGGGTGGATCACGAGGTTGAGAGATCGAGACCATCCTGGTCAACATGGTGAAACCCCATCTCTACTAAAAATACAAAAAATTAGCTGGGCATGGTGGCGCGTGCTTGTAATCCCAGCTACTCAGGAGGCTGAGGCAGGAGAATTGCCTGAACCCAGGAGGTGGAGGTTGCGGTGAGTGGAGGTCGCACCATTGCACTCCAGCCTGAGTAACAGGAGTGAAACTCCGTCTCAAAAAAAAAAAAAAAAAATTCCCAGTGCCAGTCCAGGCACACTGGCTCATGCCTGAATCCCAGCACTTTGGGAAGCTGAGGTGGATAGATAACTTGAGGTCAGCAGTTCGAGACCAGCCTGGCCAACATAGTGAAACCCCGTCTTTACTAAAAATACAAAAATTAGCTGGGTGTGGTGGTGCACGCCTATAGTCTCAGCTACTAAGGAGGTTAAGGCAGGAGAATCACTCGAACCTGGGAAGTGGAGGTTGCAGTGAGCAAAGATTACACCACTGCACTCCAGCCTGGGTGACAGAGTGAGACTCCATCTCAAAAAAAAAAAAAAAAATCCCAATGCCAGCCACACACCAGACAAATTGCCCTAGAATCTCTTGGGGTGGGACTGAGATGGCAGCTTTTTTTTTTTTTTTTTTTTTTTTTTTTCCCCAAGAGGCTCTTGCTCTGTCACCCAGGCTGGCATGAAGTGGCATAATCAAGGCTCACTGCTGCCTCAGTCTCCTGAGCTCAAGTGATCTTCCCGCCCCAGCCTCCTGAGTAGCTGGGACTACAGGCACAGGCCACCATACCCAATTAATTTTTTTAAAATGTTTTATAGCCAGGATGTCCAATGTTTTGCCTTCCCTGGGCCATATTGGAAGAAGAAAAATTGTCTTGGGCCACACATAAAATACACTAATGATAGCTGATGAGCTGAAAAACAATTCTTAAAAAAATTTACAATGTTTTAAGACAGTTTATGAATTTGTGTTAGGCCTCATTCAAAGCTGTCCTGAGCTGCAGGAGGCTTGAGGGCTAGGGGTTGTACAAGCTTGTTTTATAGAGACAGAGTCTTCTATTTTTTTTTTTTTTTTTTTTTTTTGAGACGGAGTTTCTTGTTACCCAGGCTGGAGTGCAATGGCGTGATCTCGGCTCACCTCAACCTCCGCCTCCTGGGTTCAGGCAATTCTCCTGCCTCAGCCTCCTGTGTAGCTGGGAGACAGGGTCTTCTTATGTTGCCCAGGTTGGTCTTGAACTCTTGGCCCCAAGCAGTCCTCACGCCTCAGCCTCCCAAAGTGCTGGGAGGACAGGGGCGAGTTACCGGATCCAGATGAAGCGGTGTTTTGTAGAGCCCCTGGGTGGCGTGCGGAGGCCGCAGTACACAGCTGTTCTCGGCTGTAACGTGGACGCAGGTTCTGAGTGCGCAGGGCCAGCTCAGGCCGGAGGCCCTGCACGCACAGCTCTCGGGAAGCCTGTGCTACGGTTCCACGGGCCACTCTGGGAACAGCAAGGCCCTGGAGAAAAGGCCTAGCTGGAAACCTTGACCTCCCTTCCCTCCCTCGCTGTCATAAAGGACATCAGCAGCTGATGTTGCTTGGACTTTTCCTCTGTCCCCAGTGCAGGTCACCTCCTGACACTCAGCCCTCACTGCTGCTCAATGACCGTTATGTGCCTCATTCCATTTTTTTTTTTTCTTTCCTTGAGATGGAGTCTCATTCTGTCGCCTGGCTGGAGTGCAGTGCTGCGATCTTGGTTCACTGCATCCTCCGCTCCCGGGTTCAAGCGATCCTCCTGCCTCAGCCTCCCAAGCATCTGGGACTACAGGTGCCCGCCACCATGCCTGACTCATTTTTGTATTTTTAGTAGAGATGGGGTTTCACCACATTGGCCAAGCTGACCTCGAACTCCTGACCTCAGGTGATCCACCCATCTCAGCCTCTCAAAGTGCTGGGATTACAGGTGTGAGCCACCACGCCTGGTTACCTGATCCCATTTTAAAGCTGGGAAAAATGAAGTCTTGAGATAAACTATCCGCCGTCACATGGCTGGGAGCTGCCAAGCTGGGACCTGGCCCAGCTAGTGCGGTGGGGAAGCTCCAGAGACCACTGCTAAGTTGGACTGGCCGCCTCTCATATGCAGCTGGCCCAAGCCTGTTCCGATCAGTGTCTGGGCCCTCCCTCCCTTCCCCAGGGCCCCAGTCTCTGTCCTGGTGGTATCTCTCATCCATGTCCTGCTAGCTCCACCTGGACGTCCAGCTCCTTCTCCCTCTGAACCCTTCCTGACCTGCCGTTTTCACAGTCACCTTCCTGATTTCTGGCCCAGAGCAAGCATCTGTACCATCAGCAGGCACAGGAATCCCCGCAGCCTTGTGCGCCTGGGTGGGCCTGAGCTGCTGCCTTTTTCCCCAGTCCCCAGGGTGCTGATGCTACCAGTCCACCAACAGCCTGCAGGCGAGTGCCAGGCCCAGGGTCTCCTCACTGGCCCCAGCCACACAGCCCTCTAGAAAGCAGACTTGCTCCTTGGCGTCCTCAGAATAAGCTCTTAACTCTAAGCCAGCCCCAGAGACCCCAGGTCCAATCCATCTTTGGTTTCTCCCCACCTGTTCCTGCCTGACCTCCCACCCCCTGCTTCCTTCCACCTCTGTGCCTCTATCTTCCTCCGGACGTCTGGACACTACAGGTCTCTGTGGGGTGGGGCTCCGGCCTGGGAATCAAGACAGTCCTGGGTTCGCGTCTCAGCTCCACAATCCCTAGTAAGCTGGTGGCCTCGAGCAGACGTCACCACCTCCATGAGCCCTGATTTTTGTGTCTTTGAGGTGGAGATGGTAACAGTACCTTGCAGGGCTGTTACTGAGGAGTGAGTGTCAAGAGCATGCAGGGGCCCCGCACTACTGGCTGCTGCTTTTATTTTACTTTCCAATTGCTCTGAACTCTAAAGATGCCTCATGTGGAAGGATCATCATGAGAACACTGGTTGGGACAATTCTCATATCCTGTGGGCTGGGGGCCACGCGTCCTCTAGAGCTCAGGCTGTTAGATCTCCAGAGAACCTGCGTTAGAAAAAAACGGGGCAGCATTAGAAGGGGAGGCGCACCCGCTTTGGGGGCCTCTGGGCCTCCACGCAGCCCCAGCTGGCAGGTCTTCACAGCTCGCAGCAGCCACCCTCCTGTGGCTCTCAAAAGGAAAGGCTCAGTGGTGTCGGTCCCCCGTCAGCTCATTGCAGCCTCCGCCTCCTGGGTTCAAGCGACTGCGCAGAGCCGGGGCTGCTGTCGCCACCTTGGCCTCCTGTATATTTAACTTTGAGGCACCCTCAGTTTCCTCCGCCAGCACAGACTCCAGCCCAGATGTTGACAGGTGGCGTGGTCTGGAGGCTGGTGGTTTCTCTCCACAACCTCCTGTTTTGTACTCACCGGGGCCGGGGTGGGGGCCTGGCCACACGTGGCCAATACACACAAGTGGCGGCCGCCCCTCTCTGAACGCTGTCCTCTCTCCGCAGGCCTGTGGAGGCGCCAACATGGGGCTCAAGATGTCCTGCCTGAAAGGTAAGGCTGGGCGTCTGCCCCCACCAGCTCTCATGGCAGGGGGTGGGCTGGGCTAGGGGACAGGAGGGAGGGGGATGAGGCCATCTACCCTGCAGAGGGAAAGGGGCACCATCCCTTAAGCAGTGCTGTACACAGCAGGTGCTCTATAAATGCTTGTCCTGACTCTGAGCACCCCTCCAGGCCTTCCATTTCACTATCAGTGAGTGACTGGGAAGGTGGCAGTGCTCTGGTGCCTCAGTTTCCCCCTCTAGGGGATTAATTTCAGGCTGTGGAGAGTGAGGGAGGGGTGGCCTTTGTGAAGGAGCCAGGCACACATGGGGCTGTTTGCTTTCGCAAGCACACCCGGGCCTGTAAACACCCAGATAGGCGGTCCAGCGTCCTGGTGCTGGGAGAGTAGGTCAGCAGGAGAAAGTTCTAGAAAGACACAAAACCACTGAAAGGTGTTGTGGGTGTTGGTGAAGGCAGTCCAGGCCTCTGTCCTGTGTGTGGATGGCCTTGGGGGACCTCAGACCAATGTGGCGGGAGGCTTCCTACCCCAAATTCATTGCTGCCCCTCTTCTTTACCTCAGTGACAGTTGCTCTGGTCTCCCCAGCCAAAAATCTGGGAGTCACGTGGGCGGTACCTGGTCCAGGTGGGCAGCCCCGGTCAAGGTGGGCAGTACATCTTGATTGACAGCTCCTCCAAGACTGCTTGCAGAGACATTGGTTCCCTGGTGAAAATTGGGGTGTCATTTGCTAAGTGGGATGGGATACCAGACAGGTACAGTCTGCATCCCTTCCAGGGTCTGGCTTCCTCTGAGACTCCAGGCTCTGACTTGGGGCCCCACTGCCTGAGACCGACTCTGGCTCCAAGTGTCCTGCGGCCAGTGGTGTGAGGGCCAGGCTCCTAGCCTGCCCCGGGCAACCTGCCTGACCTCGGCAGCCCCTTCCAGGTGGAGGCCACCGGCCCACCTGGAGAGGTGGCTGGAAGCTGAGCTTGCCTGGGATCCACCTGCATCGTGTGAGTTCTGGCCTCCCCACTGCCTCTGTGAGACCTGGAGCAAGGGCCTTGGTTTCCTTATCAGTAAAATGGGGATCATGGCGGACGCGTCTCAGGTCACCAGGAGCGCGAGAGCAGGGCCTGGCACACCCGGGCAGTGGCTGCTCTTAATTGTATTATTTCCTTCATCAAATTCATCAGGCTCTGTAGCCCATCTTTTGGGCTTAGGGAGGCTTAGGGCTTTTGGATGCAAGCTACAGAAGCAGAAACAAGGAATTTACTGGAAAGTCGAGGGGAGCCCACAGGAACAGTAAAGTAAGGAGGTGGGAAAAGGTCCCTGCTGGGAGCCAGAATGAAGGGACCACCCTTCAGCTTCCCAGGCTGGGAGGAATCGTCTCCTGGAGAGCATCTGATTGGCCCAGCTTAGGTCTTAGGCCCTCCCCTTGACCTGGAGGGCGGTGCATCTTGATTGACAGCTCCTCCAAGACGGCTTGCAGAGAGATTGGTTCTCCTGGTGAATATCCGGGTGTCATTTGCTAAGTGGGATGGGATGCTGGACAGGCACCAACAGCCTGTGACCCCCTCCAGGGCGTGGCTTCCTCTGACACTCCAGGCGGAGCCCACAGAGGAGTGAGGAGATGTTTGTTGAATGAGTATGTGTGAGCGGCTGAGGCTGATCCAGCCTCAGACGGTAGTTGAGAGGACCTAGCCTGAACCCTTGAAACTGGAGGACTTTCTTCCCTTAGACGTGAGTTTCCCAGTGCCTGACAGACGCCATGAAGGCCATTTTTCTGCTTTAAATAATTATATGTATAACATAAAACTTGGCATTTTGACCATGAAGCGTACTAGTAGCATTAAGCCCCACCATCTTCAGAATGAAGGTTTCATCTCCCACTGAAACTCTGTCGCCGCTAAGTACTAACTCCCCGTTCCCTCCCCTGGCCTTTGCCAACCTCCATTCTACTTCGGTCTCTAGGAATCTGCTCTTGGGACGTCTTTTAAGTGGAATTACACAGCATTTGTCCTTTCGTGTCCAGCCTCTGCCACTCAGCATGACGTTTTCTAGGCTCATCCACATTGTAGCATTCGTCACTGCTTTGTTCCTTTTCACGGCTGAATAATGTTCCATCCTGTATACGGACCACACTTTTTTTTTTTTTTTTTTTTGAGACGGAGTTTCGCTCTTGTTACCCAGGCTGAAGTGCAATGGCTCGATCTCGGCTCACCTCAACCTCCACCTCCTGGGTTCAGGCAATTCTCCTGCCTCAGCCTCCTGAGTAGCTGGGATTACAGACACACGCCACCATGCCCAGCTAACTTTTTGTATTTTTAGTAGAGACGGGGTTTCACCATGTTGACCAGGATGGTCTCAATCTCTTGACCTCGTGATCCACCCGCCTCGGCCTCCCAAAGTGCTGGGATTACAGGCTTGAGCCACCGCGCCCAGCCTCCACACTTTCTTTATCCACATATCCAACGCCAGACACTGGGGTGTTTCCACCTTTTGGCAATTCTGTCAAGACATCTTTAATGAAGAAACCAGGCCCTGGAGGTGTCTCTGAACCACTTTCCTTCCAGCCCAAGCCTGGGGCTTTATCAGGAAGGTAGACCAAGACACTGCAGATCCTGACAGTACCTGGGAAATGCACTCTCACCTTCACCCCCCGCCCCCCACCCCCCACCCCTCATGAATCAATGCCAGGCAGCCAGCTCAGGGTCCCTGGGGCTGGGAGCTTTTAAAAAGACCGCCTTCCTGTCGGCCCTAGAGCTGCTAAGTGCTGGAACGGCTCCTGCTCCCAGCGCCGCCTGTTCATCCATTTTGCATGGCTGGCTCTGCTGCTCTTGGTCCCTGACCACTGCCACCCGCCCAGCCTGGGTCTCTGAAAGTGATGAGGCCACACAAGCATGGGGGTGACTCAGGCAAAGGGAAGCATGGGGACTAGGACTCTTTTTTTGGAGGGAGGAACAGAATCTCACTCTGTCGCTCAGGCTGGAGTGCAGTGGTACAATCTTGACTCACTGCAACCCCTGCCTCCCGGGTTCAAACAATTCTCCAGCCTCAGCCTCCCGGGTAGCCAGGATTACAGGTACGTGCCACCACACTTAGCTAATTTTTATATTTTTAGTAGAGATAGGGTTTCACCATGTTGGCCAGGCTGGTCTTCAACTCCTGACCTCAAGTGATCTGCCCATCTCAGCCTCCCAGAATGCTGGGATTACAGGTATGAGCCACTGCGCCCGGCCCAGAGAGAAACATTTCAACTCAGCATTTGAAGTAGCCAGGAACTCTGTAACGTGGGCTGCCGTAAGAGATTACCCTAAACTAGGTGGTATAAAACAGTTCTGGAGGCCAGAGGTATGCCATCAGGTGTAAACAGGCCTTGTTTCTTCTGAAAGCTGTCAGGGGGCTCCAGAGCCTCTAGTGGCACCACCCATCCTTTGGCTTGTGGCCACTTAGCTCCAGCCTCTGCCTCGTGGCACATGGCTTTCCTCTTGTGTCTTCCCTTCTAAGGACAACTGTCATTTGCTTTAGGGCCCATCCTCTTCCAAGATCATCTCATCTCAAGATCCTTAATTCAGTTACATCAGCACGGCTGCCCAGTGGCTCCTGCCTGGTATCCCAACACTTTGAGAAGCTGAGGCAGGAGGAGCTCTGGAGCCCAGGGTTTCAAGACGAGCCCGGGTAGCATGGCAAAACCTCATCCCTATGAAAGAATACAAAAACGATCTGGGAATAGTGGTGTGCACGCCTGTAGTCCCAGCCACTTGAGAGGCTGAGGTGGGAGGATCCCTTGAGCCCAGGAAGTCAAGGCTGCAGTGAACTGTGATCACACCACTGTACTCCAGCCTGGGTGACAACCAGAACTTGTCTCAAAAAAAAAAAAAAAAAATCCATCACAAAGATCCTATTGTCATAAGGTCAGATTCCCACTCACAGGTTCTGGTTAGATGTATCTTTTGGAGCGGGCACAACCCTGGGTACAATGTCTGTCACTCCCTGGGGCCTTAACACTGCATGTTGCCCCAGGCACCGGGAGCAGGGACCCGCCAGGACCCAGGCCCTCTGTTCCTCTGCTCTAGCCCAACAGCCTAGCCCAGGGACTCAGACGTGCCCGGCTGTTTCCAGGTGACCCTCCCTGTACTGTGCCCCAGCTCCAGGCCTCCCTAGGTTCAAATCCCAGCTCTGCCCATTAACAACGATTTGGCCTTGGAGCGGGGCCAGCTTCACAGGCATGTGACCTCTGCAGCTGTGCAGGGCCCCGTGCTCAGTTTAATGCTCTTAATACATATTGAACAGTGGGCTCACATGTTCATTTTCCACTGAGCCCCACAAATGACATAGTGGTTGCTGCCTTAGGGCGAGTGACCTTGTCTCTCGAGGCCTCCCTTTCCTCTGGGGTAAACTGAGGCATCCTGCATCCAGCCCGCAGGTTTTATTGAGTGCCGGGTTTTGGAGAGGACTTGAGGGATCTTAAAGACAGGACTCTGCCCAGGGACTTACTACCTAGAGCCACACCACCCTGTAGAAATGGGTTTTAACATTTCTAGCAGACCCATGAATAAGGTAAAAAGACACAGGTACGATTAATTTTACAGTTTAATTCAGTATATTCCAAACATCGTTTTCACGTGTGGGGTCCAGTTCACTGGTCTGGAAGATACAGTTAGCTGATCTGGGGAGGTTCAGTTGTCTAGGGGATTTAATTTGGGGGGTTTCGTTGTCTGGTCTGGTGGCTGCCTGGTCTGGGGTTTTGGCTGATCTATGGGGTTTAGTTGTCTGGTCTGGAAGTTACATGGCTAGGCTGGGGGCTTTACCTGGCTGGTCTTGGAGGCTTGGTTGGCCGGTCTAGGAGGGTTTACCTGTTTGATGTGGCGGTTAATTGGCTAATCTAGGGGTTCAGTTGGCTGGACTGGGATTACTTGGCTGGACTGGGGGTTTAGTTGGATGTTCTAGGGGTTTAATTGGCTGGTCTGAGGGTTCAGTTAGCTGGACTGGGGTGACTTGGCTGGTCTGGGG